CAGCGTCCGGTCGTTTCCAGTAAGGTACCAGTCGCGATCGGACGCGTCCGGTCGGTCACGATCGAACGCAACATCAGTGTCCGGTCCTTCTCCACCTTCTCTACGTCGTTTATGTCATCGTACGTCAGCCTGACCGGACGCACCCAGCTAGTGTCCGGTCACTTTCAGCGCCAGCGTCCGGTCGAAGACCGACGCCTACATGCTCTCTGCCACCACTGACCGGACGTAGGACCCCAGCATCCGGTCACCACGTGGCCAGCATCCGGTCCACTCTGTGAGACCCTGTCTTTTCCGTATAGGGCGCCGGTGGCACCGTCGGACTGTCGGACACTCTGCAGGTGGAGTTCCTAACCCTTCTCGCCTCCGTTTCATCGCCGAGTTGATCCACATCAACTCTAACTTTATCTCCTTTATAAATGTGCCAACACCACCAAGTGTACACCATCATGTGTATGTGTGTTAACATTTTCACAATTATTTCCCAAAGGATTAGCCACTCAACTTGCCACGCCACTCAATCCTAGCGATGATGCAAAGTTAGATCACTCGAGTGGCACTAGATGACTGATTTGCAAACAAGTTTGCCCCTCTTTATAGTACAGCCATCTATCCTAAACCTGGTCATCAACTTCTCTACACACCTATGACCGGTGAAATGAAATGCCCTAAGTTATACCTTTGCCTTGCGCATTCCATTCCATCTCCTCCAATGTCGATGCAACACATGCACCAACATGATCAACAATAATATGATCCACTTCATATCATCACATGATCATATTGGTTCATCGATCTTGACTTCACTTGCTTTTCACCGTTGCCTTCGTCCATCGGCGCCAAGTCTTGCTCAAGCTTCACCGCCACACGGTCCATCGCTCTAAAGCCTTCAACTTGCCCTTCATGCTTGCAACCGGTCCATCAAGCCAAGTCATGTCTTGATCTTCTCCACCTTGATCACATGACTCAATGTCATGTCTCATGTTCAATAAACTCCTTCATCATCACATGTGTGAGCTATGCAACATCTCCAAGCCATTTTCACCTTCATGGCATATGTTGCTCACACACATGTACTTGTAGACTAATCACATGTGTATCTCACGTAAACACAATTAGTCCACCTAGGTTGTCACTCAATTACCAAAACCACACAAGGAACTTTCAGGCCGAGCCATGTGGTGGCGCACCGTGGTGGCACGGTCACGTCAGCGGCGATGGGGAGGCGGTAACGGTTCCACTGGCGTGCTCAAGGTGGAGAGGGAGGCAAGGTGAAGCTAGTGGTGCAAGTGAATTAGCTCGGGAGGAATGGTAAGAGAGCTGCCCACATCCACGGCCAGACGTGGCCTTATCAACACAATGGCGAGAAACTCCAAAATTGGAGCTTGGCGATTGCCTTCTTCATGGCCCGGGTGGGGTCGGGCAATGAGAGCACCTAATGATGAAGACGTGGATGTGTTGAATTGAATGGAGGTGATCACTCAGTGGCCAATTGATGGCGTGGCTTGATGGCGGCAGCAGAGAGAGTGACAGGGTGACAAGTGGGCTCGTCTCGATCTCGCCTTGTTGGGACATGGTCGGCGTGATCGTGGAGGCATGCGCGCAAACACTTTGGACAAGCACGCGCGTCCCTGACCGACATGGCCTGCGCGGCCGCAGAGCCATAAATGACAAGGCAATGGCGAGCTCGCCACGTCGCGCTGCGGTAGTGGCGACCTTTGGCCCTGGGCCGCAACGGCGCAAAGGTCACGAGAGGATATAGGCGGACGCGATGGTGATGCTGACGACACCAGCGATGGTTGCGTCATGGGTATGGGCGGTCGGCGGCAAACAACGTGGCGAGGCCGGTGGCAGCACCGCTTGGTTGCGCAAGCAGCAGCGGTGGCTCCGAGCGCCAGAGGCTAGTGGCGGCCAGGCCACAGCCAGGTCAGAGCAGCCGAACACGTGCGCAGAGCGAGCAGGCGTGGCGACGTCGCGCCCCCGAGGCGTGGTGACCGCGCTCATCTGGTGAACTAGCCCGAGAACGTGCTCTGCATGAAATTTAAAGCGCCTATAACAACTAAACGGTTGCTTCTGGACCTAAATCATCTTCACCATGCTCAAGATGACATATGAGGCTACCAACCCGAGCTAAAACATAACACATTTTCTTAACCCGATTTCGCAAAATAAATTACCAAACATGACATTGTCTAGCTGTCTGTACACTTAAAAATCTTCAAGTGTATAAGCTGAATTTGATTCCAAGTTGCATTTCTAGGCTATTGGAAATGTTAGTTAATAATGTTATTTTTCTACAATAAGTATTTCATTGCCATCTACAAAGTTTATATTCTAAACTTTATTTAAACGCTACACATATGTTTTATAGTGTTTTTGTTAAATAAAAATTAGTTTTAAACCATACTTGATATACATGAGCTATTGAACCGACTGTCATTTAATATTTTTATTTGTCATTTTAGGTTACAAGAAATTGATCTACACACTCTGTCACATGCATTATCACATGAACATGATCTTCATGACATGGTTTAGTAATTTGTTTAGGGTGTAACACCGCTATAGACCTACAGTTGAGTTGCAATATTATTTCGAGTAACAACACATCAAATATTGATGCCAAACACATTGATTAAATGTGGTGAAAGAACCCGAGATCATATTATTTAAGCTTGAGAAAAATAAGAACTAAGCTGATGCTAGCATATTTGGTTATTTGAATCTTAACACTTGCCCATTTATGAGCGCGCAAATCAATTTGGTTTTTAGTGTAGTCTCTAGCTTGATTTTCAGTAATAGGGCCATGTACTCCCAATAAGTAATAAGCGTTCTAACAAGGTATTGAACTGAACTATGGGTAATGGAGTCCCAGTGGCGATTAATGCTGCTGACGACGTATTGGTTTGGTCTTGCTATAGTACTAAGTGTGAACATAAGTGTAAGGCGAACATTAGTTACATAATTGCATTAGCCATTCGATCAAGTGGGAGAATGTTGAAATGTGATCAGTTCGGCTAATCCCGAACTTAATTACGAGATTAATTAAGCGTTAAACTTTTGGTCCACCTACTCATCATTTATTTCCAACTAAATAAGAACTGTCGTGATCGGCGGCAACCATTAGAATTCTAAAGGTTCGGGCCCCTAACCCACAACGCGATTATAAATAAGAGAGGTGCCCTTGGTGTCACTATCTCTCTAGTCCCCATGACTATTCACATAACCGATCGATTAGACGATGGAGGGTTTAGGAAGGTCGTCTATCCACGTCCATCCAGGTATTGCAAGATCTTCATCGCGTTCTTCACCAACTAGGAGCATCAAGCCCCGATCTGGTGAAGACTAAGATCTACTTCATCTACATCAACTTCTTCACATCTTCAACGACACAGATGTCGTCCACAGGCTCTGGTTAGTATCTAAGATTAATTTCCGCATTTAGATGAGTTAGTGATCATGTTTAGGTTAAGTTAAAATCCTGTTAGTCTAAGTTCTAATTCAACATAAAGCTGATGTGATATGGAGTTTATTGTTTTTGGTTTGTGGTTGCTGGCGTGTTGCCACACTTCGAATAATAAAATAGATCGAACCTTTGTGTGGCCGAAGATTATCTTGCAAGTGCTTTGGTGCATGTTGATCACTCGATCAGGCTAGTTTCCCCTTCATGAACCTTGAACCGTTCCTTGCCTGCAGATTTCTTGTGTTGAGATCAAATTGCGTCGCTTCCATGCTGTAGCCAGTTTATAACCCATCTCTCTCTCTCTCTCTCGGGTGTGTGTGTCTTCCTCTTCTTTTGAATGCCAAGCTTTTTAGAACCTTTATATCCTGCATAGAAGCACTGCCTGGTAGCAATTGGTTGGGACCTGCGTAGTACCGTAGTGGAGTGTGTGGCGTGCGGCGGCACGCGCTTGTGTGAACCAACAAACTAGGGAAAGGCAAGCTCCAAGCCACACCAAACGCCACCCATTTGGGGGAACGGATGAGGGATAATCATATATCACGCAAATGGATTAATGGCCTGGTAGCTGGTACGGTGCGGCGGGTTCTCCGGCTGGATTGGCAAAGAGGCACTGCCGAGCGAGTTGGCCAACCAAATCGGGCACTGATTCCTGGCGCCATGCTGTCTTTGTCGGTTTCTCCATGTGCGATCTCATCGCGTGTACAAATCACGTGCTGAACGTACAGAAAACGAGTCTGTTTCGTTCACTTGTGGGCAGCCTACCTTACCCGGTGGCGCTCCGGCACCGGTATCAAGAGGAAGCAAGAGTTTGTTTGATCAGCTGAGACGTGAGGGCATGTGGTACTTGGGATGGACATAGGCCATTTTCCTGTCCGCATCCATCCACCCATTCGCCCACCAACCCCCGGACCACAGGTTCTGGGGTTGGCTGCTGGTTGACGCTTTTTGGGGGGGGCTGAACACCGTACTGCGCGCCATTTCAAACAGACCCGACCCGAAACGTGTTGGATTGGTCGCATCACTGGTAGGTGAAGGTGAAGTGCCTGTCGACTGTCGTAGTCGTAGTCGTAGCGGTAGGCTTTGCCCATGGCCATCCGCATCCTCGTGTCCGTAGGCCGCACGGGCCTAGCCCTATAGGGCATGATTGGTTGTTCGAATCGGGCCGTCATTTGGCCCATCCCGTATCCTTTGGTGCATTTGGATGTGTTTGGTTGTCCTACTCGCATCTTTCCCCTGCTTCCTCCCGTGCAGATTCGCTCCTCCATTCCGGACGCCGTCGTCTTCTCGATCCCCACTTCCCTCTCGGTGCAGGCTCGCTCGGTGCTTGGCGGGAACCTTCGCGCCGAGCGCGGGAGATGAGGCCATCTGGGCCATAAAGCACGCGCGCAGGTCTCGGCTAGGGTTACCACCATCACTCTTCGCCTCTCCTTCCGCCATAGCTCCGGTGCGAACTTCCGCCATAGTTTTTGCTTGCTAAGCAGTACATATCCATGTTGCATGCTCGCTTTCTAATGTTGCCCTCCATCCTATTGTGGTAGCCATGGCGTTTGAAGCTAGGCGAAGGGCTGCCGCTGCTGTGGTTGTTGCAGTGGCGGCTTGGTTTTTCATGTGGTTTAGGAGGAGAGTTGAAGATTCGCGCTCAGTCACCTATGGTCCCTTGGCTGAGAGGGACATACAGAGGATGAACAACCTTAGATACATCTATGATTCTGATGATGTGCACTGTATCAACCTTCTTAGAATGAGGAGGGCCCATTTTTTCCAACTTTATGACCTTTTCCGTAGTAGAGAGCTTGTTACTGACAGCATACATGCATCTGTTGAAGAACAAGTAGCCATGTTCTTTCATGTTGTTGGTCACAATGAGAGGTTTAGGGTGGTTGACCTTACCTTCAGGAGGTCCGCAGAGACAATTAGTTGGTTCTTCCAGAAGGTGTTATATGCGATAGGAGAGCTGATGAATGAATTGATTGTCCCTCCTGCTACCAATGTCCATCCTAGGATCCTTGGGAGCATAAGGTGGTATCCCTATTTCAAGGTTGGTATCCATAACTTGTCATACATATGTCTCATGCATTATCAATTTAGTGTCAATGTTCACTTGCACTTATATTTTTTTCCATTAGGACTGCATAGGAGCAATTGATGGTACTCATATATTAGCTAAAGTGCCTGTGAAGATGTAAGCTGCCTTTAGAGGCAGGAAGTACACCATCACACAAAATGTGTTGGCAGCCATGGACTTTGACATCAGATTCACCTATGTGCTTGCTGGTTGGGAGGGATCTGCATATGATGCTCTTATCTTGTCTGATGCTCTTAAAAGAGATGATGGCCATAGAGTGCCACCAGGTATCATTCAAACCAAAAAAAACTTTGACACTTTGCTTAATCCTAAATGAAACTACTAAAACATGTTCCTATCTGCTAATTTTTAGGCAAATTATATCTTGTCGATGCTGGCTATGCAGTGAGGCCTGATTTTTTGCCACCATTTCGTGCCACAAGGTACCATTTGAGGGAGTTTGGTTCAAACCGACCTCAAAATCAAAGAGAGCTTTTTAATCTAAGGCATTCGTCTCTTAGAGTAACAGTTGAGAGAGCTTTTGGGGCTCTAAAGAATAGATTCAGGATATTGGACAACAAACCTTTCCACCCATACAAGACTCAAGTTAAGCTTGTTCTAGCCTGTTGTATTCTTCATAATTGGATCCTCAGGCATGGGCAGGACGAGCATGTGCCTGCTGAATCCACATTGACACCTAACATCAATGATAATGCCTCACAACCAGATCATGTCCCTGACAATGGTACCTGGGCACAATAGAGGGAGACATGGGCTGCACAGATGTGGCAAAATAGGGGGAATTCTAGGGTGTAGTGGCATGGTATGTGTACTGTTTAGTAGCATTAGAGAAACTTGTATTTTTATTGAGACCTATGACATTTTGCAATGATGTAGTACCTATTCCTTTTTTGCCTATTTGATCTGTTCAACTTGTATTTTATACCATGCAATTTGTTTTCCTTACGTACTGGTTGTGGATAGGAAATGGACAATGTGCCTGACCAGGTTGTTAACATTGGTGGTGAGGACAATGTGGTGGAATAGGGTGGGGTAATTCTTCTGCTGATGATGGCAACCAAGCGACCCCTCACCCAATGGCCCTATGCTTTGGAGTCCTGTCTCACCTGGGTTCATGCTTAGGAGGTTCCATGATTTGGTGGGGCAGGGGGTCAAAACTGAGAAATGGTTCAAGGAGGTACATGTTAGGCATGTTACACTCATGGTATCTGAGTTTGCTGGGGTCAATGTGACCACCCAACAGATTTACAATCACCTGAGAAAGTGGAGGCAAAGGTGGGTTAAGGTTGTTAGGCTCAAGGATTTGAGTGGTGCTCTGTGGGATGAGGACCACCATATAATAGTACTTGATGATGAACACCTGCTAGGCCACACTAAGGATGGAAACTGTTTGGATAACACCTCAGCTATCCCTTCTCTTTTATTTTGCTCCCCTATATCTAATAGTTACATCTGTTTCACTAACTAGGACCATTCTGCTGATGCTAAGTTCTTGAACACACCAATAGAGAATTATGTTCAGATGGAGGCCATCTTTGGTGGTAACCAGGCAACAGGTAGGCATGCAATGGGCTCAAATGAGCCTCTGGGTACTCCAATCGACATTGGCCAAAGTGATATTGATACCGTTGAGGACAACACCGACTTAGGTGGAGCAGATTTGAGTGCGGAAAGGGAACTCCTTCTGGTATGGAAGGCTCTAAGGGTTATGATGCCAAGGGCCAGAAGGAAAGGGGTGGCAAGAGAAGGAAGCTTGCCCCAGAGAAAATAGACCTCATGAATGGAATGATAAAGGCTGTGGAGTCTGTAGGAGATGCCCTCAAGACTCCATAGTATAATGAGGTGCATCGGGATCTTTATGGTCGTGTTATGGACCGCCACAGGTACTCATAGGAGGCACTCATGTTTGCCCTGGGTTTACTATTTGAAGAACAAAGGTGAGGGACTTTGCTTTGTTCAGATGATGAGGCTCATAGGATCCTCGTGGCTTAGGACCTACGAGCACAACCTACTTTGCTTAGATGCATACTAGTGGCCTCTCCACTTTTGCATATAACCATGCTAACTGTCTTATCTTTGTAGGAAGTATTTTGATGTGTAGCACTTACCTCAACCTGATGCTCCAAAGAACCATTTGTCGCCTAACCAAAGTGCACCTAGTCTGGAATAGCATAGGAGCCATGGTGATGGATGTGAGGCTTTGTTGATCATGTGGTGGTGTAGACATTAACAAATGGTGACGGATTGTCACTTAGTTGATCTCGAGCCCTAAAATACCTTTGATTGTCAGTTCACGATACATTTGAGATCTTGTTATTGTTCTTGTAGGAGTTCCTATTTGGCCGATGATGCAAACTATATGTCTGAGGTGACTGTGGGTATTATTCTGTTGTTGCTTTTATTGCATGTTTGTGTTTTCTCATGTCTTTCATCAAACCGTGGGATACATCCATTCTCAAGCAATTTGTTGTAGGCATGCCTCACCGGATGGTTGGGATGGACGTGTTCCACGGTTCCTTGGGAGTCATGAACTTGCCTTAGCAATTTGTGTTCTTATTTGCCCTGGGATGATTGCAGCTTTTTCGTGAGGTGATACAATTGTGAGATCCTTTTCATGCCTATAAAAATAATGATGATAGTAATGAATTATGCACATTGTTGACCTTGGACTTGTGGAGGTCTTTGGAGCATTGTTTCTTCTATCTTCTGCTTATGCTTCTCATGGTCGTAATCAAACCATGTGAGACATCCATGCCCAAGCAACAATTTGGACAATTCGATGATCGATGGTAAAATTTGGATGCCTCTCATGGTTTCATTCCTGTCATGATCTTGGTTTTCTACAATCTGTTTGATGTTTGCTGCTGTCTATGTTTCTTAAGCTCCAAGTTCAAGGTCAAATGAAAAGGCAATTAAATCTGAGGCAAATCGATTGAACTACCCTTCATTTTGTCAACATCTTATACTTGCTTTTATGTGTTTTTTAAGGGGCAAATGGCTTGGTATGTTGTGTACCGTGGAAGAGTATCTGGGGTATATTCAACCTGGGCTAGATGCAATGCCCAGGTAACTGGTTTTAAAAACAACAGCTACAAGAGCTTTCCTAACAAAGAAGAGGCAGAAGCATCATATTTAGAGTTCATTGGTTGTGAAAATGATAAAGTTTTTGTCAATCCTCCACCAAAGGTGCTCAGCAACAAACCGGTGTTATTTGTCGTGGTTGTGGTGTAGTGTTTTCTGTTGCTGGTGTTCCTATGGTTCGTTCTTGCTCGTTGCTATAACTGTCTGTGATGCTCAAAATGACATAGCTTGGTAAGTTGCCTGTAGGGGAAAGTAGCCTGGGTCTATGCCCTAAATGCCTCCTTGCAGTTCTTCGGTCAACCAATGAAGCTCTAAAATACTTGGTTACCGGCTATTGCTTTGGTTCGGTCGTTTATTTTGATAATGCTTGAGTTTTTCATTGCTAAGCATTATTGTAGGTGCCTCTAATTGTTTCATATTGTCTGTGATGGTTTCAAAATGCCATAAAAACGTGTGGAGACAATGACCTTGTGAGGAACTGTGACTTTTGAGCAACCAATCACGCCCTTGTTCATGATTTGTTGGGAGTACTATTGTCATGTTTATGTCATCAGAAACTCCAAAATCATTGTCAATGTCAAGCTTGTTGAACTGAGGCAAAGTTATCTCTGTTTCCTTCTATTCTTCTTCATTTTGCAATAGCTGGTGATAATCGAACCAAACTCATACATGGGTACTCAGACCCGGGACAATGCAGCCAACCAAACAAGAACTGGAATCATTAATTCATACACTGAAACGGTGCAAATGGGAAACCAAACACGACGCTGCTCATTCGGCCTGTACTCAGTTACAACTAAACACACCCACTTACGTACTTCCATCGTGTCTGAAAAGAGCCTGCACCCTCCATCCCGGATCACCGATGCTCGAGCAACCAATCACGCTCATATACTCCGGCTCGCCCACCCGCCGGCCTGCGGAACGGCCCCCGTGAACCAACCAGCCGTCCCCACTCGGCCACTCCCGTCCCACCTCCCAACCCAGACCCAGACCCAGACCCAGGCACCGACGCCCGCGACCGCGACCGTCTTGAACGCTTTTCGGGCCTTGGCAATCGACAGATCCATCAATCAGCACCCGGCCACCCGATCGGGTCAAGCCAGAGTCCCAGGAAGCGGAGCGCGGCGGCGCCCACCTGGCCCCAACCCCAAGGTGAGCCGCTCCTCCTCCTCCGCTGCCCTCCTCGTCTCGCCGCATTGCTCATCGCATCATTCCCCGCTCTGCTCGGTTAGGGTCTCCCTCCCTCTCACATCATTCCCCGCTCTGCTCGCGCTCGTGCGTCATATCATATCTGGGCCTGCGCTGAGTCTGCTGCACAGTTTGCCGATTCGTCTGTGTGATCGTCTCATCCCAGCGATTTACTCCGTGTGGCCGTGCGGTGCCCTGCCCTGCCACTGCTTCTGTTTGCGACGCCAACAGGGGGCCGCATGCGATTCACTGCGCCGTCTGCCCTCTAATTTGGTTGGTGTGTTTAGTGAGGTTTTCGACTCCGCGGCTTTGCCTTCTGTCTGAAGACAGCGGGTGTCCTCAACCCTGATGGCACATCATGTCATGTGCATGATTGGTTCATGGGGATTCTGATGGTTCACAGCGCTTGTTCACCTTCTCCATCAAGGGTTCTGTACCCCTTATATATTCTGTAAAAGTGTCAACCACACCACGGTGTGATTCTCTTTGACATGTCCATTGACGACTGCCACACTGTACATTTCTGAGCTTTGCCCAGCTTACCTGTCTTGTTGTAAAAGGATCAATAATGCCATGGTGGTGCAGTTTTTTTTTATTGGGTCAAATTGATTGGTATTTTGCTTTCTCGGCTCATTCTGAATTTTTCATCCAGACCAGACAACCCGGTGTTTGATGTAAAATTTTGCTGTGAATCTTTACTTACATTGTGAAAAATAAGTCGCTTGTAGTTTTCTCATAGTTCTTTGCAAATTGAACTGAATCTTGTTGCATTTAGCAGATGGGGGACGTTGCGAAGGACTTGACGGCTGGGACCGCGGGAGGGGTTGCCAACCTCGTCGTCGGGCACCCGTTCGATACCATCAAGGTCAAGCTCCAGAGCCAGCCTACCCCTGCTCCTGGACAGCTCCCCAAGTACGCTGGCGCCATCGATGCTGTGAAACAGACGGTCGCGGCTGAAGGCCCAAGGGGCTTGTACAAGGGGATGGGGGCGCCTTTGGCCACTGTTGCGGCCTTCAATGCTGTCTTGTTCAGTGTGAGGGGGCAGATGGAGGCCCTTCTGAGGTCAGAGCCTGGTGTGCCACTGACTGTGAAGCAGCAGGTTGTTGCCGGCGCTGGTGCTGGAATCGCAGTTTCCTTCTTGGCGTGTCCAACAGAACTGATCAAGTGCAGGTCAGTGGAGTCAGGCCAATTTTTCATCATTACATTTTTCACTTGAATGTTGGATGTTCAGTGGGTGGAATTTTACATGCTAACATGGAATCCATGTGGTAAAGATGGTTGCTCTTCAATGAAATGCACTTTCCTGCAGATGTTAGTCATCATGCACATCAGATACTGAATTATCTCACTTGCATCATATGATATTGGATTTATGCTATGATATCCTACATTTAAGCAATCCTATAAAGAATTTCCTGTGCGGCTTAAGATTGAACAACTGAAAATTTCCTTGTGTTTCTGTGAACATGAAATTCCTGCAGTGCTTATCTATTCAGCTCAGAAATGAAATGAAGTTCCTGCAAAATAAATTCATGTACAATACATGATGATATTTGTCCTATGTAAAATGCACTTTCCTTCATATGTTACACATTTTTTTTAGAGTCCATATGTTACGCAATGTGCGTGTATGGTACTAAATTGCTGTGCCTTTCAGTGTTTCTCAATTTAGCCCACTTGCATCATATTATGGTTATTTGCATTAACAATTCAGGATAAACACCTGCTGTCAGTAATGCTCTAATCCAAATGCCATAAGATTGAACCACGGGGGAAAAAAATTATATGTCTAGTGTCAACACAAACTAAAATGATTTCTGCTCTTTTTTTTAGTTTGCACATAAAACTCCCACTAGTCAGACTCATGTAAAATGCATGGTGATGCAAATTATATTCATAGGGTTGTGCTGTCATCTATTGTGTGTTTTTCTCTCCTGAAACATTTTCAAAAAATGCGGTGATAGAAATAGTCATGTGGAATTGGTTATGATCCAAATCACATGAATGGGTTGTGCTATGACCTGTTTTGCATCTTACGTTCTTTGAGAAATCTTTTGAAAAAGGACAGTGTTTTCTTGGTCCATCCTACTTGTTATCATGTTAGGGATTTTTCTCATTTCTACTCTTTATTTTAGTGTCTAATTGGAATCAATGTGGTAAAGTCCTGTTATTTGTTCTTTATGGAATTTGCATTCCTGGTTCCTGCAGATGCTAGAAATCATACATGTAAGATACTATTTGCCATGCATTCAATGTGCTTTCGCAGTTCATGTCACTTGCAACAATATCGTGGCTAAGTGCACTAGATCAATGCTAGTATCTTTCATGTAGTCTGTTAGCGTTAATTTCTTGCATGACTTGTAGTGCTGTTTAGTATTTACCAAATGCCATAAAATTGGGCTGCTGAAAAGGTATTTTGTGTCAATGAAAACACATAAAATTGGGCTGCTGAAAAGGTATTTTGTGTCAATGAAAACAGTTTTTCTGTTTGCAAAGGATTTCCTACAAGTCATACTCATGTACAACAGCCTTGCAGCCATCTGTTGTGCATTCCACTAAGCTACTTTCCCCCGCTCTACTGCTTCTAATATATCCCCTCCCTCCTTGCAGGTTGCAAGCCCAGAGTTCCTTAGCCGAGGCAGCTGCCGCTTCCGGTGTGGCTCTTCCCAAAGGGCCGATCGATGTGGCAAAGCATGTCGTCCGGGACGCCGGCGCCAAAGGTCTCTTCAAGGGCCTGGTCCCGACCATGGGGCGGGAGGTCCCTGGCAATGCAGTAATGTTCGGCGTGTACGAAGCCACGAAGCAGTACCTGGCGGGCGGCCCGGACACGTCGAACCTCGGCAGGGGCTCCCAGATCCTAGCGGGTGGCCTCGCCGGTGCCGCCTTCTGGCTGTCCGTGTACCCGACGGACATGTTGAAGAGCGTGATCCAGGTGGACGATTACAAGAAGCCCAGGTACTCTGGGTCCCTCGACGCGCTGAGGAAGATCGTGGCGGCCGATGGGGTGAAGGGCCTGTACAAGGGGTTCGGACCCGCCTTGGCGCGCAGTGTTCCGGCCAGTGCCGCCACGTTCGTGGCCTACGAGATCACGAGATCGGCGCTAGGTTGATTGGTGCTGCTGGCCTTTGCCATGGCGCTTCGCCGTTTATTCATTCTCCTTGCGCCGCTGGAGCAACGCGAACAATGCCAGACATTTTTTAGGGAGGAAAAAGAGAAAGAGAGAAAACTTTCACTTCAGTGATGAGATGCTTTAATGAAGCAAAGCTTAATTGAAAGTCTGTTCATGTGGAGTGAGTGGTTGGTGATAGATAAATAATACTGTACTGGCCTTGTCGTAATGGTTGGCCTGGAGCGGATTGGGCATCCGACGGTGATCCGATGGCGTGGGAGTGGTGGTGCTTGTGATGGCGAGATAGTGGTGGCATGTGGCCCGTGGTTTTGTTGGGTTGTGGCGTCACCCTCGTCATCTCGCGTTCGGCACTCTTTTACCCCCACAATCCCACATTGGCCTTGCCTCCTTTTCTTGGCCTGAATTTTGTTCCCTCTTTTTTTTCATATATATTAATATAATAGTATACCGTTTCCCTTTTGCTACTGGCACATGGTTGTTCCCTAAAGCTTCTCAGGATCTCAGCAGCGGCAGCACCACTCCAGCAGCAGTAGTCAAGTTGCCGCTCCGGTTGCGGAGAAGCCACCGTAGTCATACTTGGTGGAGCTGGAGTGGAGTCGTCTCGTTGGGTGAGGAGGACGAGGCAGGCAGCCATCCCTCGGCTCCGCCTCCATTGCCGACCTCCGTGGCTGCCGCCGCTGCCGCTCCTGTCATTGCACAAGTATGGATTTGGTCCCTTGCAGATTACCTTGTTCGTTGCCACACCAGTGTTTGTTTCCGTTGTGCATGGCATTGCTGGCTCGCCCTCATGCCGATTCGGCTGGCGGACCTGATTGAACTAGTATGGTAGTCCAGATTTGTCCGATGGTAGCATAATCAGCCTGTGTGATTTTTCTTTATTTCATTCATACTGGAGTATCTCGGAAAGCAATCTGTCCTCTTTCACCTCAGGCCTCCTAGAACCTGATGCGCCTAATCTATGAGACACTGCTCGTCGCCGAAAGGGTTCGCCAGGTAGCGGGGCATATTGTGCAATGCTTGAACATCTACGTGTTCCCTTTTTTTGTCTTCTTCTCTTGTTATAGAAAAAAAAAAACTTGTCTCTCCACCCTCGTAAAACTTGTCTGCTGCGAAGCCGTAGGTTCGTACCTTCATAAGCTAGTCAGTGATGCAACAAGAAGCACCAGAGACTGTATGCACTGGATGATGCAAAAGGGCAAAAAGAGTTTCATTTACCTAAAAATTCATATGAATTCTCACTAGGTGACTGTTCATTTTCTAAAAAAAAACGAGGTGACTGCAAACGGCGAAGTATTTCTGCTCTGATGTCTGATCTCTCTGCATTCCCGTCCGTATAAAGTTCAGCATCTGTTAGTACTAGGTTCAGGCAAAAGGAGACAGAGGAACAGATAGCGTCTCTCCTGATCACAAAATGTTTATGTGCTTCTAGAAGCAGCTGTGAGTGAATGTGACCTTCTACAATTATTCGAATGTGTCATGTGTTTTCTGAATAATACAAATAAGAGCACGAAACAAGAATAAGCTGTTGATGTAGAGTGTTTTTAGTTTGGCAGACAGCACAGCACCCAAATGAAGTTTGCAAGCGTGCGTGTGCACGGGGCAGATGGGTGACGTGGGCAAGGACCTGACGGCCGGCACGGTGAGCGGCGCGGCGCAGCTGGTGGTGGGCCACCCGTTCGATACCATCAAGGTGAAGCTGCAGAGCCAGCCCACGCCGCCGCCTGCCCAGCCGCCCCGCTACGCCGGCGCCGCCGGCGCCGTCCGGCAGACGCGGGCGGCCGAGGGGCCCCGCGGCCTGTACAAGGGCATGGGCGCTCCTCTCGCCACTGTGGCGGCCTTCAACGCCGTCCTCTTCACCGTCAGGGGACAGATGGAGGCCGTGCTGCGCTCCGAGCCAGGCGCGCCGCTCACCATCGGCCAGCAGGTCGTTGCCGGCGCTGGCGCGGGAGTCGCCGTCTCGTTCCTGGCGTGCCCCACCGAGCTCATCAAGTGCAGGTCAGTTGCTTGTCACACCCTGCTGCTGCGTGTTTCCTTCTGAACACCCTTTGCAGAGCACTGATCCTTGATCCCATGTTAGGTTGCAAGCCCAGAGCGTCTTGGCCACTGCTGCTCCTGCGGCCGCTGCCGCCGGCGCAGGAGGCGTCGCAGCGGCCACCATGACCGCGGCAGTGAAATACGGAGGCCCGATCGATGTGGCGAAGCAGGTGCTCAAATCGGAAGGCGGCACGCGCGGGCTGTTCAAGGGCCTCTTCCCGACGCTGGCGCGCGAGGTCCCCGGCAACGCCGTCATGTTCGGCGTGTACGAGGCGACCAAGCAGGTCCTCGCCGGCGGGCAGGACACGTCGCAGCTCGGCCGTGGGTCGCTGATCTTGGCGGGCGGGCTCGCCGGCGCCTCCTTCTGGGGCTCCGTGTACCCGACCGACGTCGTCAAGAGCGTGACCCAGGTGGACGACAACAAGAACCCCAAGTACTCGGGCTCCATGGACGCCTTCCGGAAGATCCTCGCCGCCGACGGCGTGAAGGGCCTGTACAAGGGGTTCGGCCCCGCCATGGCGCGCAGCGTGCCGGCCAACGGCGCGTCGGTGCCTGCTTCTTGGCGTACGAGTTGACCAGGTCCGCGCTAGGGAGATGATGTGGCGTCGCACGTCCTCGCATTGCTTATAGTTGGCCATCCAGCCCGAGGCACGCACGGCTCGGCACGAAGCCCTTTTTAGCCCGACACGAGAGCCGGCCCGGCCCGGTGACATGCGGGTCCCGGACTGGCCCGGCCGAGGGGAGCAGCCGTGGTCCGGGCCCGTGGTATGGCATGGCTGGGCTCGGTCTGCGCGTCTGCCTGGCCGGCCACCCCTCCCTCCTCCTCACTCCACTTCCCCTCACCGGCAGGTGGCCCGGTGGCCGCCCACCGTCCCTCGAACCCTAAGTCCCCCCCCCCTCTCTCCGGCTCTCCCCACGCCGCACCCCAGACCGCACCCCCTCGGCCCTCTCCCCACGCTGTCACAGACTCGCGCAAGACCAAGCACCCTCCTCTCCCCACGCGGCCACTCCGTCAAGACCCGACACCCTTCTCTCCCCATGCTGCCGAGTACCCAGACTCTCTCCTCGCAAGACAAGCTCGAGCTCCGCCCTGCCGGCCGCCAACGCCTCGAGCTCCTGCTTCCCCGTGGCTCGCCAAATCCCCTCCATCCCCTTCTCTTCTCGTGGGATCCAACGCCGAGCAACGCCATCGCCTCCCATGCCCCCGCCGGCCGTCGTGGGAACAAGCGCTGGCCCCAAGCTCGCCTAACGCCGAGATCCGGCCATGAGCTCGCCCGACGCCACCTCCACTCCAACCCGCCTCCCGCCCGACGGTGGCCACCTCACCACCGCCGCCGCCGCTCCTCCTCCACATGCCTCTCTGCCGCGGATCCGGCCTCGTTCTCCGCGGATCCGGCCTCCTCATCGCTCATCCTCCGTGGATCCGGCCGCCTCATCGCTCATCCTCCGCGGATGGAGAGGTCGCGTCGTCCATGGCCTTCCGAAGCAACGACGGCAGACTGGCGCCCTGGCCTCCTCCTCCTCCTCTCTCTCTGTCAGTGTAGTGGGCCTTGGGCGGCCCGACGCCTGGATTAGCTGCGTGCTTTCGGCCGCCCGGCACGAAAAAAATGCCTCGGAAGAGCCGTGCAGGCGTCGGCCGAGCCGCAAGCCAATAATGGCGGCACGGCCCGCGGGGCACGGCGTGCTGTCGGCCCGACCCCCATCGGGCCGAGCCAGCCCATTGTCGGGCCGGGCCAGGCCGGCCTGGCCCGTTGGACATCTATAGCTTTGCTTGAACGTGCCGTTCTGATTTTTCTTTTCCGCTTCTGCTGATTCATTCATGTCATGACGACAACTGGTCTGATGTCAACACTGTCATGACGACAACCATGACCATAGTCTGATGTCGACAGTGTAAGGCATGTTTAGGTCACCGGACTAAAGTTTAATCCGTCAATAGATAACAGGCTAAATATGGATTAATTAAAATTTCTTTTTTCTAATAAGTTCTACTCATCAGTTAATTAGTTTATATTAGACCGTAATTAGTTCATGTTTAGATCTTCTATTTGGCATCTAAACTATGGACTAAAGTTTAGTTTATTCTATCCAAACACACCTAATTACCTGTGAAATAAAATTTCTCTATGAGGGCTTTGCGCTCATTTCGCCGCTCGCTCTCTTTTGGCGCCATGGACATGAGATTCGTGAGGCTGATAATAAAGCTTGCCTTGAATTTGATGGATCTGATAAGAGCAAGTATAATAAACGACACTCTCAACAGCCTGAGCTATTTACTAAATCGTAGGTAACTCTTTGAATAATATTAACTTTTAGTACATAGCTCATAACATAAATAACTTCACGTGGACGTCATTATATAATATTCGCCAGCTTATGCACACGAACCAATAAAATTATGTGAGAGGAATAAGTAGTTCATAGATGAGCTAATTATTACATAAGTGATAAGTTTACTATAGTCAGCAGCGGACTATATTATTAGTCTTGCTCTAAGACGCTGGCGGCTGATGCCGCAGCGCAGAGTTTGCGGGCGTCTGTCCTGCAACATCAACTGTTGTTAAATTTGTGAAGCTGACTTCATTGCTGTTGTCTCAGAAATTGTTGTCAATTTTAGGTTCCCGTCGTCATGGTATCTCAAATCTTTAGGAAACCCTCAGCCTATCTTAACACCAACGGGGTGGTGGCGTAGTTGGCTAGCGCGTAGGTCTCATAGCTAATTGATGAGTGATCCTGAGGTCGAGAGTTCGAGCCTCTCTCACCCCAATTTTGCTCTCCTTAGCTTCAGGCAACTATTGACCTGAAGTTTTATGTTTTTTTTGCTCCTGATTTGGTGATCACCCCATTTTTTTGTTCTCCGTCAGGCAACTCTTGACCCTGAAGTTTTATGTTTTTTTGCACCTGACTTGATGTGTCATTTGGTGATCACTATCTGTTGGTCTTTCTCCGTCAGGCAACCAACTTTTGACCCTGAAGTTTTTTTTTTTATGTTGTTTGCCCTGGCTTTATGTGATTTGGTGATCACTATCTGTTGGACTTTGAGAAAAAAATATTATTCTCATTAGTTGTGCTTGACATGATTGTATCCTGGCCAGCTGGGCTATGGGCTGAGGCGCATAGCAGAGGACACTCTTTTCTTGCTTTGATTATTAGGCCTTGTTTAGTTTTGGGTGTCACATCGAGGTGTTGTATGGGGTGTTTGATACTAATAAAAAAACAAATTACTGAGAATCAGGTCATTAGCACATTTTGTAGCATTTTATTATCAAATCATGGACTAATTAGGCTTAAAAAATTTGTCTAGCAAAGTAGTCGCAATATATGCAATTAATTATTTTTAGTCTATATTTAATACTCTATGCATGTGTCTAAACATTCGATGGGATAGGACGTAAACTTTTAGGGAAGAACTAAACATGACCTTATTAGTGCAAGTTGGGCAAGTTGATGAGGGGCGGTCATCGTCTGGAAGACAACACCATGTGAGAGTGCAACTGCCTCCCAGACTTTTAATTGGGGCAATTATGTATTTGACACTGGAACAAATCAGTCTTATTTATTTGGCACTAAAAATTTTAAACTTTCTTATTTGGCATCGAGTTAAAAATTTCTTCTGTAAATGGCATTACCGTCCATTTTGTGCATTCATCCGTCAGTTGAATGCGTTGACTCTGTCATATTTTTTCGGAAGTACCAAAATGCCCTTCTATACTTGCTCGTGGCCGACGGCTCGTCTCCCGCCTAGGAGCTCGCTGGAGGCGTGGCGGCTCTCGCGCCGGACTCGGCAGATCGAGGCGCGGGGGACGTACCGGGAGTTCCTCGCCCACCAGTCTGCTGGCCCCGATTCGCGGCAGCTGGGGGTCGGTCTTGCCCGCCGACGCTAATGCCAGGCCGCGACGCGTGGGACGCGACGGGGTGAGCTCCGCGACGGCCGTTCATGCGCAGCATGCGTCTCGGTGAGGAGGAGGACGTCGTCGACCAGCTTCTCTATCCGAGATGACGCGATGGCGCTAGAGCTCGGCGTGACGTCGGTCATGTGGCTCCGGGCGTGGGACGAGTGGCGGCTGTGCTGCACAAAACGCGGCCTCTCCTGCGCGCAGCAGCAGCACGAGGCTGAGCGGAGCTCACGGCCTGGGCGGCGTGCGGAAAGTATGCTGGTTTTGGTGGCCGGCTGGGTCCCCGCAGTGCCCACGCGCCATGAGTGAGAGTGACTCGATCATCCGCCCGATCTGACGGGCCCGACCACGGCGTACACGCGCGCGGGGCTTTGCGTCATCAACCGGTCAGGTACGGTGACCGCACCGACCGACCGCCCGCGCTGGCGAGCGCTCGCGCGACGACGGAGCCAGGGGAGGTTCTGTCCGTTCGACAGGGCCAAGGCTTCCTCCCTCGTAACAAGGCACAAGGCCACAGATGCGTTCGTTTCCTTGTGTCCGCGAGCATGTATGTACACCGGGCGCTGCGGCGCCACGTTGCGAAGTGGGACACAGCTCGGATCACTTCGCGGCTCGGTGCCCGCCGTAGCCGCCGTACGTCCAATGGCGAGCAGCAGCAGCAGCACGTCAGGAGAGCAGCAGCAGCACGTCGGGCGAGCTCCGCCAAAGACCGCGTGCTGCTCGCGCACCGCGTCCCCAGCCCGCGAGCTCCCGGCTGCGTGCTCGAGCGCCGCCAAGGCTGCGAACTCCAGCGTTGCCGGGCCACGTGCTCCGCCCGACCCGTGCGCTTCGGCGTCAAACGCCGGCCGGCGATCTGCGGTGTGCTCTGTTCTTGAGCCATGATGTTACGATGACGGCATATACTCTCTTTTTCTTTTAAAAACTAAAAGATAAATACCTTGAAAATATAAGTTACGTATTTCAACAAAGCAGCATCCCGAGCCATGCATCCTTAATTTGTGGCCGACATGAAAAGGAATAGTGAGGGGCATAATCTATACCTGCTATTACCAATTTGAAATTTATTAATTATTTATTTGCAGTCTTCAATTATCAAAAATCCACATTTTAGTTCAAAGTATATTTATGATATTTATTATTTTCTTATTTGATAACCTATCTATTTTTTTTCTATTTAGCACCATGGACTTTTGCTACAATCAAGAGCATTTATGTCATTTTGCTAGCCACTTGACACCATTCTATTGGTCTAAATCCTCGATATCATTCTGAAAGAAAATTTCAACTCGATGCTAGATAAGGAAGTTCAAATTTTCTAGTACCAAATATGAAAGGTCGATTTGTTTTAGTGCCAAATACATAATTCTCTCCTTTTAATTTCCTCCCTCATCATCGCCAGCGCCAGCGACACGGCAGCCACCAGTGTACGCCTCTGCTTCTGTCATGCAGGGCAACATTTGCAGATTTCGCTGCATGCAAGATTGCGCAACTGCACAGTTTGTGAGCAGCATCTCCGAGAGTTTCCTATTTGTCTTTCTAATACTTGGTTTTTTAGAAAATAAAAAAAATCTCTCTCCAACAGTTCCTAATCCATCCTCCTAATATTTAGACACTTGAAAAACTGAGCCAGTTCCTCGTAACTTTACGCGGCTCTTGAGTCGCGCGGATCCTTCTCCCTA